CCATTTATTGGAATTCACAGTCGGTCATTATCAAAATTGCCTATATATTTTGCCTCTTTTCTGAAAGTTTCTTTATTTTCTCACCCAATCAAAACCTAACTCTTATAATGAAGCACACTACCCATACTCTTCAAACAGTGGATGTTTTTCCCACATACCTCCTTACTTCTCATTGGTAACTGTAGACTGTATGTGTTATCTAATGCTGTGAAAGAAATCACCCCAAAATTCAATGGCTTATAGTCACAATAATTATTTATTATCTCTCCTAGTTTCTGTGGGTCAATAATTTGGAAGTATACTTGGCTGCGGGTTTCTTATATTAGTTTTTTTCTTCTAATAATATACCCTTTCCAGTATAGTATATTTTTTAGATATACTGTACCCCTTTCAATCTAATATTCAGTAGTATTTTTTCCAGTCCAAGTTTTCTTTAGATTATCACTGAGAGAAAACCTCTCTGCCTATTTTCAAAAAGTAGACAAGCCTTTTTCCTGGCAGCCTAAGGTAAATCACAGAGCAGTGATGGCCTACTAATCATAGCTGTCATTACACATCAATTGTTTTTTGGATTTTTTTTTCGTATTCTGCACTATGTTGACTTTCATCTCTTTTTCTTCAAGTGCTACAACTTTGTTTGTTTGTAGGTATTTGGTTAGGATATTAGAAGAAGTTAAAAAAATTGCAACCTATCCATCTAACAAAGGGCTAATATACAGAATCTACAAAGAACTTAAATTTACAAGAAAAAAACAACCCCATCAAAAAGTGGGCAAAGGATATGAAGAGATACTTTTCAAAAGAAGACATTTATGCAGCCAACAAACTTATGAAAAAAGACTCCTTAACACTTGTCATTAGAGAAATGCAAATCAAAACTACATTTAGATACCATCTCACACCAGTTAGAATGGCAATCGTTAAAAAATCTGGAGACATCAGATGCTGGAGAGGATGTGGAGAAATAGGAATGCTTTTACACTGTTGGTGAGAGTGTAAAATAGTTCAACCACTGTGGAAGACATTGTGGCGATTCCTTAAGGATCTAGAAATAGAAATACCATTTGACCCAGCAATCCCATTACTGGGTATATACCCAAAGGATTATAAAGCATTCTGTTTTAAAGACACATGCACATGTATGTTCACTGTGGCACTGTTTGCCATAGCAAAGACCTGGAACTAACCCAAATGCTCATCAATGATAGACTGGATAAAGAAGATGTGGCACATATAACCCATGGAATACTATGCAGCCATAAAAAGGATGAGCTCATGTCCATTGCAGGGGCATGGATGAAGCTGGAAACCATCATTCTCAGCAAACTGACACAAGAACAGAAAACCAAATACCGCTTGTTCTCACTCATAAGTGGGTGTTGAACAATGAAAACACATGGACACAGGGAGGAGAACATCACATACTGGGGCCTGTTGTGGGTTGGGGGAGCTAGGGGGTAGAGGGATTGGGGAGGGATAACATTCTGAGAAATACCTAATTTGGATGACGGGGGAATGCAGCAAACCACCATGGCATGTGTATACCTATGTAACAATTCTGCATGATCTGCACATGTACCCCAGAACTTGAAGTATAATTTAAAAAAAGAAAAAAGAAAAGCTAAAGCATACCTAAAAAGAAACTGCTAGTCAATTATCATTTTAAGTTGTGAGATATTCTCTATTTTGTTTTTGGAGAATATATCCTACTGGAAGCTCAGTTTTTAAATTTCGTTTCACATTTCGTTAAATCTTTTTCTCATGGCATGCTTCTTTATTAGATTTAAGTCTCTGCTCAAATAGCACATCCTCAGAAAAAGACTTCTGTATTAATTAGAACAGAGGTATTTAAGTACTGTGCCATGAATGTTTTATGGTCATTCCTGAGACACTGTTTCCTTTGTTCCCTGGGTTTTGCCTGTGACCAGTCATCCTTATCTGTTTATTCTAGTGTGACATACAAATTTTGCTATACTCCAAGAGTGCTGAGCTATAAAATGTTTGGCAAACATTAGGTTAAGATGAAGATTTAAATGTAAAATAGATTTAGAACCAAAGTAACAGTGACTTTATACAAGACACAGGAACATGTATATTTCAATCTAGAGGCCAACAAGTAGAGCTACTCTAGAAGCCCTGAACCGAAAAGTCTTATAGGAATCTAAGATTCTTCTATTTCTTTGCGCCACTCTCTACTGCTCTTATTTGCATGGTCTTAGTTTGCTTGGTACCGTGAACACATTCCAGACAGAAAAGAAGTGAAGTAAGCAGGTAGGGGTGGAAAGTGTGGGTGAAAGAGCATACCCCCACATCCCTTTTAAGTATATGATCTAGAATTTGCATATAGGATTTCTGCCCACATTCAGTTGGCTGCAACCTAGTCTTGTAGCTATCCTAGTAGCTGCATGGAAATCTGAGAATTGCAGCCTCTAATCTCAACATTTGAGTGCTCTGTTACTACAGCGAACAAGGAGGGAATGGATGGGGAAGGGGGGAACTAGGGATTTTATTGCTTAGTAATAAAACAGTTTGAATAAAATAGCACAGCCCCATCTCTCTAGCCCTTCACTTTTTACAGTGAGATCGTTTTTTTTTTCTATTTGTCAGAAAAATAATAAAATACTTATTGTAACCCTTTCATTTAACAATAATCATGTCTCAGTTAAATCATAAAACCTTCAGTAAAACCCAAACCACTGTTTGAAGTCATCTTGGAAATAGAAGTAGCCCAGAATCCCTAGAACTTGGATAGGCTACAAGGGCTCTATGAGTCCTATGCAACTGTAAGTGAAATCATTTGTTAATGCACATTTATATAGCTTGGTGGTTAAGAGTATGAGTTCTGGAGTCAGATTGCCTGAGTTTAAATTCCAGCACTGCCTTGTGCTAGATTTGTAAGTAAGACAATTTATCTAACCTGTCTGTTCTCAGTTTCCCTGGCTGGAACATGAGAATAATAGTATAACTACTTCACAGAATTGTTCTAGGAACTGAAGATAGTTAATACATTTAAAGGACTTACAATAGTGTCTCAACATTGAGTGCTGTGTATATACTAACATTTTCATTGATAAATAATATTTGTACATATTTATGGAGTATGTATGATATTTTGATAAATACATAGAATGTATAATGATCAAGAGAGGGTATTCAGGATATCCATCACCTCAAGCCTTTATCATTTTTGTGTACTGGGAACATTTCAAATCTTTTCTAGCTATTTTTAAATATACAATATATTGTTGTTAACTATAGCCACCTACTGTGCTATTGAATATTAAAACTTACTCCTTCAATTCAATTGTATGTTTGTACCAGCTAATCTACCTTTCTTCATCTACCTCTCCCTGGTAATTATCATTCTACTCCCTATCTCCATGAGGTAACATTTTTAGCTGTCATATATGAGTGAAAATGTGTGATATTTGCCTTTCTGTGCCTAGCTTATTTCACTTAATACAATGACTTCCATTTCTACCGATATTGCTGCAAATGCAGGATTTTTTTTGGACCAATAGTATTCTATTGTGTTTATAATACCATATTTTCTTTATCTATATCTATTCATCTTTTGATGGATACTTAGGATGATTTCATCTTTACTATTGTGGATAGTGCAGCAATAAACATGTGATTGTAGATATCCCTTTGAGGTATTGATTCTTTTCCTTTGGATAAATATTCAGTAATGGGATTTTTGGATTGTACGTATGGTAGTTCTGTTTTTGTTTTGGTTTTTGAGAAACCTCCATATTGTTTTTCATATGGCTATCTGATTTGCATTTCCCTGATGATTAGTGATATTCAGCATTTTTTCATATAGCTGTTGGCCATTTGTATGCCATCTTTTCAGAAATGTCTATTCAGATCCTTTCGCTATATTTTAATTGCATTATTGAATTGTTTTGCTGTTGAGTTGTTTATTTGTATTGTTATTTATATTCCTGGGGGTGATGGTCCATATCTTCCATCTGATTTTCAGTGGCGTCTATTATAAATTTTAATTTAATACCTGAAAGAAACCTCTTTCACAGGCTGTGATTGTAAAATTTAAACTTGTTCTGTTTTAATCAAAATTTATCTGAGCAGACGTTTATTTTCTGGTACAGACGTTTATTTAGTTGAATCTATCCCAATTGCATTTTCTTATAAAGCACTTTTTTGTTTTTATTTTATTTTACCTTTTATAATAGAAATTTATATTTATGTTTATCTCAACTTTCTTTTACCTATCACTTTTTTAAAAAAATAAAATAAAAATTTACAGGCTTTAATTTAAAATTGAAATTGCTTTCTTTTCCTTTTCAAAAACCCTATGGAACTAATAGTTCTACATCAGGAATTTGAACATCACCACATTACTTGTGTAACTGAATAAGTTAGGCAGTAGATATGTGATTAAGTAATGAACATTGAATTTTGTTCTTATTGTAAAATATAGGTGCAATTGAGCCAAACTGGGTCATAGTTGAAAATATTACAGTCTCTTAATATAATGAAAAAATAGCCTGTACAGCTGTTCTTTTTCCAAATGGGAACATAGTGACTAAAAAAATTCTGATGCTTCAACATTGTTAGGAATGAATTTATATTGTTCTATAATAAATTGCCAAATGTCAATGTAAGTCACTTTTAAAAAAAAAAGTCAGGTTAGCAATAAATTTTTAGTATCTCATTGCTTGTCTCCTGTAGTTAGCTGAATATCAAGAGTATTTGCATTTTAAATTGCTAAATCTTAGAGAAATTGTTTTGGCAAATTGGTTGGTACCAGACTTGGAACTTAAACACAAAGCAGCTGTGTTGAGCAAATACCATTTTCATAACATTAGTATGCTTTCAATTAACAAACTGGAATGAACTGTTAAACATCACCATTTCCATGTTTAACTACTGTTTAACTTTCTCAGTGACTGATTTGCTTTCTCAGTAGATTATTTATCTTAACTGAAAATGGAAGAATTTTATTTAAGTAATTCATATTTTTCCTGCATCTGCAGAATGTACTCAGGAAAAGTGGGGATTTCCAATGTGCCGCTATTTAAAGGAAGAGAAATGGTGCTGTGGTCGTAATGCCAGAATGTCAGCATGTTTGGTATGGTTATATTTTTTCCTGGAATAACAGCTTCATCCAGATGTTGCAGAATTTATTATTTTGGGCTAGTATCATATATTCAATGCCAAATTTTGCAGAACAGCATCATAAATGCTTTTGTGCATTGGAAATTATAAGAAAAAAATGGCTTGCCCTTTAAACAATATCCACTGTACATGCAGTGTCATAACAAAAGTTATATATAATTATTCCAATTATTATATAAAAATAATGTAAAGTGTTCAGTACTTTATCCAAAGCTCTGTGGTTTGTATTTCTTTATAGCAGATCATTTTGTTTCCTAAATCTTTATAGAATGGGAAAAATATTAAGCTAACTGAGAGATGAAGTAACTATCTAATTAAAACGTTTATTGTGCTGCACTTTACTAGTGCCCTCAGATCTAGAACACTCTAGCCCATAATGTTCTCTGTTCATGGCACTATGTCACTTTACAAAGAAATGATTTGAATAATGTAAGTGATTTTTGCATTTTCAGAAATTTAAAATGTTGTAGCTATGTAGGATTAATAAATTTAGAGATCTGAAGTACAACGTAAGGACTATAGTTAATATTGTATTATATAACGGAAATCTACGAGTAGATTTTAGGTGCTCTTATTGCACACACACACAAAAGGTAATTATGTAAGATGGTGGATATGTTATTAATAACATATCTATCTAGATACAGATGCTGCTCAGCTTATGATGGGGTTATATCCTAGTAAACCCTTCATACATTGAAACTATCTTGACACAAAAATGCACTTAATACACATAACTTACCAAATATCATAGCTTAACTTAGACTACTTTAAACATGGTCAGAACACTTATATTAACCTACAGTTGGGCAAAAATCATCTAACACAAAGCCCATTTTATAATAAAGTATCGAATATCTCATTCAATTTATTGAAAACTATATGAAAAGTGAAAAATAGAATGGTTGTATGAGTTGTCAAAGTATAGTATCTGCTGAATGCATATCGCTTTTGCACTATCACAAAGTTGAAAGTTGGGAACTGTTCATATGTCTATCTATCTATTTAGACATATATATATATATATTTATACATACATATATTTATATACATATATTAAAAATCACATTGTATACTTTAAATTTATACAATAAAAAATTTAAGAAAATAAAAAATAAAATACCGTTGATTAAATAATATGTTTAATGTCCAACTGCAAAGTAAACTAATTCTTTTAGAGTCCATTGTTTCTATGCTTTTGTTACATAGCAGTGTAAGAAATAGTGTGCCAGTGTTCTAAGTTATATTCACTAGAATTATCTTAGAAATATATTTATGCTAACAGAATAGTTTTCTTTTGTAGCCCCATTTAAACTACTTTTCTGGAAATTTGTCTTGTTCTCTCACTCTCTAGTAAATGGTACTTGTTCAAGGTCTTGTTAGAATGACAGGTTCTTCTTGTGATAACTTGAGCATCAAAATGCTGTAGCTAGTGTTAACCCTTGATGTAATAAATTGAAATAGTCTTTTTAAAGTGAATCTAACTAGCCTCAGAGAAAAGACCTCAAGATATTGGCATCAGGGACTTTACAGTGTAACAAGATAGATCTATCCCTTTGTGGTGAGACCCACAACTAACAGTCTTCACTCGTAAGCAAAATACTTCTAATCAGATTTATGTCATCCTCATTTTAATTACTAACAGAAAGCCAAAAGTCAATAGATATCTAAGGGAAGTCCAACAAAAAAATAAAGATTAGATTTTAAAGAAGGAAAAAAAAAAAAGCAGCTGGGTAGAAATGTAGATGATCTAAGAGGAAAGAACTGTGTAATATCCCTTAGAAAGTCAAAATAATATATTGTATCTGTAAAAAAATCATGATTTCTATTAAGCATTCAAAGAACCAAAAAGAAGACTTTGGAAAATGAATTCTGTAAATACAGAATTAACAGACCATGCTGGTCTTAACTTGTCCTGACCAATGTCAGCTGCGTGTGGAATGCCCTACCCACCTTGACTTATTTTTTTGATTCCAAAGTAATGCTGGAAAGTGTAAGAACAAATCTTTTAATATATCTTATTTTATTACCTTTTGCTTCATAACTGACATTTTTGACAAATATTCAAAGCTTAAACCGTACTCAGAAATTGTTTTGGCAATTTCCTAGTAATATCCTTTTTTAAAAAAAAAAAAAAAAAGATACTTTTCTGGGGAATGCTTTCAAATAAACAGTTACGGATACTAACCAGACACAAAATATTAATTAAATTTGAGCAATCTCATTAGCATACCTTAAGCCTGATAAAACCTCTAAATTATTCCGGACTAGTATGAAATGAATACTTAGTATGTTTTCTTCATCCTCTTTGTCAGTGTTCCAGAACAGTATTAATGTTTGCAAAACACTTTTTAACCACCTACCTGATTATCTCTTATTATGTAATAAAAATTTCTTATTTCTATTTCTAAATTAAGCTCATCGGTAACACATACCAAAAGCAGTCCTGGGGTAGATGATATTTTTATTGACACCAAATCACCTTTTTAAAGACTCTTTTTTTTTTTTAATTCAGTTCAGCCTTTAGGAAAATTTATAACAAAAATTTAATCTGAAATTGGCACAAGGAATACCATAAATGAAAACTCCTTATTATCTTCAGTGATAAATCTGTTCTGAACTTGTTGCTGTTTAACAATATGAAAGTTATGTAATAGCTGTCTACTGTATTCATAACATTCTACTTGGCTCCGGATGTTCAGTGAAGGTATCCTTCAACTAAATGGGAAAATTACATTTTTTTTCTTTAAACCATTTCTGTGAAGCCAGTTTTCATGCAGTGAACTCCTTTTCCCACTAACTCTACATGGTGTGAGGATATGAGAATAAAGCAGGATTCAAAGAACAAGTTTTTAGTTGTTCAGTTTTTTGCTAACTAGCTATGCAACTTGAGGAAAGTTACTTGTCAGTGATCTTGTGTATCTGCAAAAATTGCTCTTATAAAAAGATAATCTGTAAATTATCTTTTCATTTTAGAAGTGTGTGATTTAGTTATAAGTGAACAGGTTTCATTTATAAAAATCTAAAGACCTGAAGCAAATATGGGTATTTTAAATTTGAGTAGCAAGTATATCCACATCTCGTATACATGTATTACTTTTCTGTGTTTGAAATATTTTCTAATTTAAATTTTTTAGATTAAATTTTAAATTTTAAAAATCAAATTTAGTTTAAAAATTATATATATGTAGAATTATATCTAAAAACTCAAAGTTTCAGAAAACTGTTCCTTATTTAAATTATGACAAGTCTTTTATACATTTTGAATTATGAGTACTTATTAGAAATGTTAGGAAATATTTTGTAAAAAATGTTTTGGATTTTAAATAAATACAAATGTAAAAACTAGTATATATAAAATTGTAACAATACATATTACTTTCTCTTCTACCTGGCACTTGATCATATGTGAATTTGATTTGAATTGTAAATCACACAGACCAAAAATACATAAGTTTTCTAAAATAGGTTTTTGATTGTAGTCTAGGTTACTTTGTTTACTAAAAGATGAAATCATATGTTTATTAAAATTATGAGAAAATATGTTAAAATAAATATATCTATGTCTGTATATGTGCACAATAATAGTTTTGGATTTATTTGGTTGTTTTAGCTACACTAAAAATGAGCCAAGAATGTGTCATTTCGTTGCTTTCTTGTTTTCTAATTTTTTCTGAAATTCAAGGACTGTGTATAATTAGAATTGACATTCAAGGATATGTGTTTGTGTATATGACACACATCCATTATAAATTAGCTCTAAATTGCACAAGCATACTAGTTAACATTCTTTAATGATATTAACACTGTTAAGTATATAAACTTACATGTTATCACATAATTAATCTTTCTAAATGTCAGTTTTACAAACTCTTATACAGTGTGTTTATAAATCTTAAAAGATAAGACTCAATATATCAGCAGTCTGTTTTGTTTTTTTCCCTTTAAGGCATTGGAGCGAGTTGCAGTTGGCCAAGGGGTAAGTAAGAGTGTTTTAACTGATGAACACTATAATTTTTCTCTCAAGTACTCTTCATACTTGACCTGCTGATGAACTTAAAACCTGATGGAATTTAATAAGTATCTTGTCCCAGATGCATATTCAAATTTGTGTATTTTCTGTAAGTTTACTTTAAAAGCAAAATGAACTATTCAGAACTTTTGAGCTTTTAGGAAAATTTCTGCATTATGCTGTTATACTAAGTTCTCATTTCTTCGTATTATACTAAACCATAAATATTTTTAAAGAATGCTGTTGTTGACAATTAGGCTTTTATCTGCTTAGTTCAAGCAAAGATAATCTATATTATTCAGTACATTATTTTAACTACAGTCCAGTTCACATACTTCAGTTGATTGTTTGATAACTTTTTTCTTTACTGACTTGATTAGCCATTAACTGCAGAGCCAAATGGGTTTGCACTTAGAAATAAAAGTTGAATATAATCCTCAAAATATGCATGTAATTGTCTTATCATTTACCTTGTGTTCAGGAAACATTAAGAATTTTTTAACAGTTTTTTAACCCTTTCATAAAATTTTTAAATTTAACCTAAAGTTTAAAAATCTTTCTTTTGCTTTTGTTCGAGGAACATTAATATATCAATTTGAATTGTGTAAAGTATAATTTTAAAAATAATTTTAGTAACAAGTATTTACTGAGTGAGTACTCTGGACCAGGAACTTTGATAAGCATTTTGTATGTAGTTTTCTTTTTAATATAGTCACTTTGCCTATCTTAAAATTGATAAAATCTGGTTCTTTTGAAGGCATTAGCATTAGAGCATATGATTTGAGTTTGAGGACTTTAAGTGTGTGGGACTTTAGTTACAAACTGCTGGTTTACATCATGTCTTTATCACTTACTAGTTAATGATCTTGGACACATGTCATAATTTCTCTGTAGCTTAATTTCTTTATCTGTAAAATAGGAAAAAAAATAGGAGTAATAATAATACCTTTCTATAGGGCTGTGAAGATTAAATGAATGAAAAATGTAAAATGCTTAAAACAGTATCTAGCATGTAGTAAATGCTCAATAAATGTCAACTATTGTTGCTGTTATAAATAATTAATAATTATGATCATGAAAATAATAGCTAAATTTGATACAGAGCTTAAAAGTTCTGTTTAAAGTACTGTTTAGAAGATTTTCTCATCAATTGAGGTAGTAAATACATAGCACCATATAGTATGTACTCTTATTATCCCATTATACACGAGAGACTGTAAGGTAACAAAGACTGAGACTTGAACCTGAGTCTGGAGTTCAAGCTCTTAACTACTATACTACATATTAACTTAATGGTTTCCTAGAGGTCTAGGAAAAAAGAAAGAGCTTTTATCATCATACTCCAATACATTAGTGTGGTGTTTTTTAATTTTGCAAGTATTTGCTCATACTTACACTCATCAGTTGGGTATTATGCTAAATCTACATGAGAATTATATGTAGCAAAAATTTAATAGTGTGTTCTAGTTCCCTTGATTAATTGCAGAGCCCTGACTTCCAACTTAGTGCCCTTTCCACTAGACCTGTAAAATGCATGTCTGATACACATGCTTTAAGGGTGTACAGTTTGTGTTCTCCCTCATTTTAAGAATGCATTAAAGTGTAAGTTAATGTATCACTTAAGTGAAATAAACTCTGAGCCATATCCAGTTTATTCTTGAAATAGTCAGGCACAGACTGTTCAGGAGATACTGATTCCCTTCCCACTTACCCATCTGTATTTACCAGGATAGATGGTCCTAGTTATTCCAGGAATGCACATTTGAAGGCATTTTATAACCTCTTCCGTTTCTCTTAGGAACAGCTGTAAAGCTCTTATTTACTCAGAGTAACTTGGGAATGATGACTTACTCTGTTCTGCTGTATTTTTTTGTGTGCATTCCATTTTTTGTGTGTTCTCTTGTTTAAAATGCACTTTTTGTTCTTTTTGGTTGTATTTTACAATCATTTTTATAACAATGTAACTATTTATTTCTGAATCTTGATACCATTTAATGTAATTTATTCAATGGCATGAGAAAGAAGAGTTTTTAACTATTTTTAGGTGTTTCATATAAAATTAAACTTACCTAATATAGCTAGTCAAACAAAAAGTTAAGAACGTTGTAAACCATTTATAGTACTAATATTTCAATTCATGTAAGAGTAGATTTTCCAAAGTGGCTTTGAATTTCAATAAAATGTTATAAGAATAAGTGTTAATATATGAAAATGTATTTCAGCATTTTTGTGAGATAAATGAAAGAATTTTTAAGGAAATAGGCGACAGATGATACGGTAGCAATTTTGGTGCTGTAGAAAAGAGTTATGCAAGATGAGGAAATCTCAAATGGAAAATATATCCAGAGATTAAGAAATTCTAAATGAAATGACTTGGTGTAATTTGTAAGGAAAGGAAACCTTTGAAATCAATAGTTTTTGTCTCAAGTGAAGGCATTTGTGACAACTTTGGAAAGAGATTTGATTGATTGATTGAGACAGAGTCTCACTCTGTTGTCCAGGCCAGAGTGCAGTGACAAAATCGTGGCTCACTGCAACCTCCACCTCCCAGGTTCAAATGATTCTCCCTGACTCAGCCTCCTGAGTAGCTGGGATTACAGGCGCCCACCACCACAGCTAATTTTTGTATTTTTAGTAGAGATAGGGTTTCTCCATGTTAGCAGGCTGGTCTCGAACTCCTGACCTCAGGTGATCCACCCGCCTTGGCCTCCCAAAGTGCTGGGATTACAGGCACCACGCCTCGCCAGAAAGAGATTTTATATAAGAATTGTGCCTTTCAAAAGTTACAGATTTTAGTGTGGTCACTCAAGCATATGTATGATCTGCCTTCAGTGAATTATTTTAGCAGTTATTTGGGGACTACGATCTTTGTTACACCACCCCACTATCGCCACTTTCCAGCAGTAGAACCTGTATTCTTTCACAATGCTCTACGAGTCTACAAGTCTGATGTTCTCTAGTGACTTCAGAGGGCAATGCCATCAGGGGAAGATATAAGAAAAATGATTGACCCTCAGCTCCCAAGCTGTAGTCTCAGCAGCACAGTATGGGAAGTTAATGCTAAATGAGGGAGAGGAGCAGTAGAGTAAATTTTCTGCCTGAGCATGAAAAATTTATTTTGCTATGAACTCCATCTGAATTCAAACATATTTATTCTAGTTGAAAACATGTGAAAATAACAGTTTTGGACTCCAAAGGATAATAAATGTTGCAAAAGGATAACTCCATGGATATACACATTCCACTGAATTATATCTTTAAAACTTTACCAGTCATTGGGCAGTTTTGAGTTTTACCTTGTTTGACTTCTTAAAAGCATTCAGTAACTGTTGACCTACTTCTATTTCTACTCACTAAAAAAAAAAAAAAAAAAAAAAAACTGCATGCAAGCTGGGTTGTTGCTGCTGACATTATTTTGTGTTTGATGTCCCGTACTGTCAATATCAAGATCTGTGGGGATGTGGATAGGGTTTTGGTGACTTGTAGTTTCTTAGTTTGAGCACTTCTATTGCTGCAGTGAAGTGCTCTTTATAAATAGCAATATTTTACCTTCTGCTCCTTTGAAACAGTCATACTTCATTGGAACCCTTCTCTTCAGCTATTCCTTCTTTCCATTCAAAAAGCTTTGAACCTTTATAGGCCATCTCTCATATCTCTGCAAGAAGTGAAGCATTGCCAAGAGTGCAATCTCTTATCCTGTGTTCTTTCCCAGGCTCTACTTTTCAACTTCGTGATAGCCAATGCTGTCTTTCAGACCTCAGACATACCCTTATATTTATTTATTTAGGGTAGGATCTTTCTTTCTTGGTGTGACTCCTAGCTGTTATTATCTTTATTCCACCTCCATTAAGACAGATCTACATTCTCTTCTTTTTCACACATATCCTTCCTGATTCTTAAATGCTCCAGAGCTGACTTGGCTGGTCTTGAAAGTATTTTTCATTTTTAACTGATAAGGGCTCCATTTGGACATTAACTTATTGTTCATTGATTATAACTTTTCTTTCTTATTCACTGCTGTTTCTTTTATGGTTCCTTCTGTCTTTTTTGTCTTTTTTTTAGAATTAACTTTCACAAAGAATTAGCCTAAGGTAACACTTTCACTTGAAATAGAAAAATTATAAAGTCATCCTCTGTGTTTAGCAACAAAGTCAGGTTTCTGACATTCACTAATGGTTCTAACATTCTGGCATTTATTTTATTTCTGTTTTTTATTTGTTTCTTGATCTTATATATGTCTACGTTTTTTTCAGCTGCCTACTGAATCACTCTTCTATCGTGCTGTTCTTCAGGATATTATTAAAGATTGTTATGGCATCACCAAATGGTATGAGGATTTTATTTTAATAAGAACAACTATGTTATATTGTAAGTAAACTGACTTTTAGTCTTCGGGTGAATTTATGCAGAGTCACTGTTATTAGTAGAAGAAACTGAGCATAATGTCAATAACAAGTACACAACACTTGTATCTTAGGTTAATTATCATTAAAGGAGGGGCTCTAATGATTCCTTCTTGTCCTGAAAGCTCATTGTAATGATAATGTAATCTATGCAAAATATGCTTTAGAATTTTTGAAGTATTAAAATGTTATATTAAGTAGTTCAGTGATGGTATTATATGAGCAAGAATTATATTTAGAATGTTTCACATCCAGTATGGCATAAACTCTTAAGTCTAATTAGAACAGATATTGATCACGAACAACTATTATAGCCCTTCAGGTCTCTGCTAGTAGAATACTATCACTGCATATGTTTTGTTTTGTTCCTGTTGCCCCCCAAATAATGCACTATTTATACAGAGAAGTAAGGGGTAGGAGAATTTTTCATAATATTGGTTCAACAACTGTTGTATTCAAGCATACATTTGTAATTCTGGCAGGTTTTATGAATGTTCTCTTGCTAATTACAACTGTAGGATTCTAATTGTTATTTGGTATTATAGGATTATTCTACAAATTAAAATAAGGCAATTTTCAGGTTCTCAAAAATCAATCTACAATTTATTAAAAGATATAAAAGGGATTTTTAGGTTAGTTATTATTTCTCTGTAAGAAAAAATATCCACTTTTTACTGATAAAAGTTACTGCATACAAGTACCTACATAGACGGTTTTCAACTATCATTTCTATGTCGATAACTCCCAAATCTGTATCTCAGTCACCATTCCCTTTTTTATTCTTCAAAATCTCTAAAACTGAATTTTTCATGTCCTCCTTCTCTTATATTTACCCCAAGATGCTAACCTTGTTGAAAAAAGCCATAAAATTGTGCAAATTCATGTCCACTCAAATATTTACAACCCTCCTTCTTTAAAGACCTCAAATCTGTACTACATGCCTCCTTTAAAGACCTCAAATCTGTTTGTTTATTGTTTTTCTTATAACTTATTAAATTTGTTTCTATCCTTTTCTAAACCTTACTTCTCACTTAAAAACTCAACACTTTCCAACCCTCCACATTCCTGCCTTCCATTAGTACTCAGAAGATAGCTGGTATTTTTATAAGACGTTTATTCCTGAGCCTCATTGACCTTTCTGCCACACTTGACCATGTTGGTCATTGTTTTTACCTCTAAAATCTCTTCCTCATTATCTTGCATTTTTCTGTATTCTCTGGCTTTCATTTTTCTACTCTGAGCACTCATCTGTTTTCTTTACAATGTCTTAATTATTATTCCATCTCCTAGGTATATCTAGCCATTCTTTCATGTCTTATATGCAGCTCCTCTCTCTTTATATTTCCTCTTTCTTTTAGATCCTTACCACAAACGAATCTTGAGATATGTAGTTAGTTCTCACATCTTTTTAGAAGTCCACATCCGCTTTCTCGTTTTCATCTGAATAACTTTACTTAAGTACCTCACAAATGTATCAATCAGCTACATCCAGAACCAATGTTCTCTTCCCACCAATTCCATTCTTTTTTCTCTTGATGTTATTTCTGGAAATGGTGTAACCATTATCAAACATTAGAAGTCTAGAAATGATATTTGATTCTACTTTTATCATCAAACCACATATTCTAATTAGTTATCAAGATCTGTGTATGTTTTTTTTTAATACAGCAATTACTTACAACAGACAACATGTTAGCTTCTGGGGATTCTGGATGCATAGGTAATGGTTTCCACACAGAAGCAATTTATGTTCTAGTCAGGATAGCTTTATATGAAAACCAAAAAGAATGATTTAAGCCTGCTTTCAATAACAGACTAAATAATTAGGACTAACTTCACTTCTGAAGAAACTAAAAAATGCTGCAGAGGTATGTGCACATGCATATGAGTGTGCATGTGTGTTTAAATTTGTTTTTAATTGGTTTGAGAGTATCAGAGACCTATTGAAGAAGTGAAGAATTCTAGGACAAAAAGCTAAGAGGAAATGGGATTTCAAGAGAAGCAAGCCCAGCTATTATGGCTGCCCTTTCCCCAGAAGCATCTGTCAGTTCTGGAATAGGCAACTGTCCACCTGTCAACAGAAATGGTGGGCACAGCTTTCAGTAGAAAGACAGTTCTAGTGAAACCAAAGTTAGAGTTCATGGTCTGGTGAGGACTCAGGAGCAGTCCAGGTAAACCACTCATACATTGAGTTAGGTCGCTAAAGTTTCATACTGTAAGAGTAAGAGTGAACTAGAAATAGAACAGTCCTAAAATGACTAAAGCCCCATTTTGAATTATCTGAAGCTGTGATTAAAGTATTTCAGATTATTGCTTCTACTAGCCGAATACAAGAAATAAATTCCCTTTGGACAAAATAATATAAATCTAAGCCTCAAATTATCATTAACATTTTATATGTATAGTACCTTATAAAACCAATCCAAAATAATCAGCTATGTGATAAAACAAGACAACATGACCAAAATCCAAGATAAACTGCAGTCAACAGAAATGTACCTTTAAGAAAGCCAGAGAAAGGCTTAAAATAGCTATACTTGAGAGACTTCAACTCTGAAAATATTGGATAGATGTACTTTTCTCTATTTGTGCTGCTAAGTACAACTAAATCCCTGAACATTATATATGAAGTGAATACAAGACAAAAAGTAGAGAGAATAGGGCAGACTGGCTAGGGATTCCTGGACTGAAGGAACAACACAGCATGAGTTCTCCAGGTTTTTTTTTTGCTTCATATAGCCCAAGATTGGAGTTCAAAAAGGTGGTAATTCAAAACCACCAATAGGCAGAGAAAAAAAAGAAATTTCAAATGAAAACTGAAAGACCAGGAAGGGGGCAGGCCTAGATAAACTTTTATGCATAATTGCCATACTATAGCAAAATAAAAACAGATAAACCTGTGGCTCCACTCTGACCTATGCCAACAAAGGCCACATGAAAAACCTACACTTGCACCCTTGCTGTAATGAAACTTTCTTATAACCCCTTTGTGGAGTTGTATTAGAGAAGGCTGAATAGGAAAATAGGACTTTTATCCAACCATAATTAACAAATAACCCAGTACTACTACCACAGTGTCATAGAGACCATGTGAGAAGCCTGTACTCCCTGCCCACCCAGCTGTACTATGACACCCCTTTTTCTCCCCACTAGGGTGGTTTGTATCAACAAAGGCCTAGTAGAGGATCAGGAATTTCACCATTACTCAGCAGTAACAAGGTAACCCCTATCATGGTGTCAGTGGAGATCATGTGGGAATCTGGAAGTCCCAGCAATAACAAAGTCCTTTAGGTATCAATAGAGGCTGACTTATCTTTACACGAAAACTTGTACACAAATGTTTATAGCAACTCTATCCCTGGTTGCCTAAACTGAAAACAAGCCAGACGTCCTTCAGTGAGTATTTAAGCAAACTATAATAATCCATACCATGAAATACTAAGCATAAAACAAGGAGTATTGTGGATACACACAACAACCTGAGTGAATCTCCAGAGATTTATACTGAATGAATAAAAGCCAATACCAAAAGGTTATGTACTATGTAATTCTATTTATATATATTCTTGAAATGATGAAATTATAGAATGGCAAGATATTAGTGGTTGCTGAGGTAGGAAAAAGGGTAGGGTAGGCAGGAAGTGGATATGGCTGTAAAACAGCAACGTGAGGGATTCTTGTGGTGCTAGAGGTGTTCTGTGTCTTGGCTGCATCCAAATCAGTATCCTGAATATTACCATCCTGAGACATTGTAGAAAACTAAATGAAGAGCACGCCAATCCTTATTCTGTCCTACAACTGCATGTGATTTTATAATTCTCTTAAAATTAAAAGCTTACTTTAAAAACTATGCTCAATATGCATATTGAAATAAAATATTTTTGTCAGAGAGCCAAAACATTAAAAAAATACAAATGAAAATTCTAGAACTGAACAATAAAATGACTAAAATCAAGAAATCAATGGATAGTCTTAACAGCATTTTAGACACAGCTAAAGAAATAATTAATGAACTAAAATACAGGTCAGAAGAAAATATCTATAATGATGCATCAAAAAACAGAAACACAGAGTAGAAAACAAAGACTAACAGTTATGTGGAATACAGGGAATAGGTTTCATGTATATGTTAACTGCAGTCTGAGAAGATGAGACAGTGGATAGGGCAATAGCAATATTAAGAATTTTCCAATCCTGACAAAAAGATATCAATCTTCAGATTTGGGAGGTACACAAATGTTATGCTGAAGTAAAAAGAAAACAAGTTCTAGACACATAAGAGTAAAATTGCTGAAAATAAAGGGAAAAATCTTAAAGTAGTCAGAGGTGAGAAGAGTGAAGAAGGAAAGCAGAATACCCCCAAAGGAACTAAATTAGTCTAACAACTGAATTCTCAGCATAAACAGTGGAAGCCAGAAGTCAGTGATATCTTCAAAATGCTGAAAGAAAGTAGCCTACAGTCTATTTGAAAATACATTGTCAGAGGCAAAAAACAAAATATGAAGTATGCCTTGAAAATCTAGAAAATAACCTCAAAGGAGTAAATTTAAGTCATGGCCTTTTCCTTAATTCATTTCTATGTTACTATAAAAGAATAACTAATGCTGAGTAATATATAAAGAAAACAGGCTTATTTGGCTCACAGTTATGCAGACTAGACAGAAAAATGGTCCCAATATTTCCTTGGCTTCTGGAGAGGAGGGCCTCAGCTACTTTCACTGATGACAAAAGGCAAAGTGTAGACAGCATATGCAGAAATCACATGGCAACAGAGGAAGCGAAAGAGAGGGGAGGTGTCAGTCTCTTTAACAACCAGGTCTTGTGGAAACTAAGAGAGCAAAAACTCACTCACTGTCCCCCAACCTGGGAGGGCAATAACTTATTCACAAAAGATCTGCCCCTATGACCTAAATTTTTCCCATTAGGCCCCACCTCCAACATTGGGGATCACATTTCAACATGAGGTTTGGAAGGGTCAGGTATTCAGATTATAGCAGACTTCACAAGAGATTTGAAACAGTGCAAAGGATAGAGAGCTTACTCAAGGAAATAATACAGAAAACTTTTTAAACTCAGGAAATAATACAAATACTCTGATATAGGAAGGCCAAAGACTTTTGAACTCAACTCAACTAAGGCTACTCTAAGACATGTAATAATCAAAATCTCAAAGGTAAAAGACAAAGCAAGGATCAAAAAAACTGCAAGGGAAAAGCAGCTCTAATTCATCTGGCAACAGAGTTCTCAGTAGAAAATTCAGGCCAGGAGGGAGTGGGAGGACATTCATAGTACTGAAGAGACTGTCAACCAATAATATGGTGGCCAGCAAAGCTATCTTTCAAATATAAAGGGAGATACTTTCCCAGATAAACAGAAGCTGAAGAAATGTAATACCACCAGAGGTGTCTTACAAGAAATGCTGAAGAGAGTTCTTCAATCTGACAGAAAAGGATGCTAACATGCAACAAAATCAGCTCAAGGTATAAAACTCATTGGTAAAAGTAAGTGCACAGACAAAAATTCAGAAGACTCTTAATACTGTAAATGTGGTATGCATGCAATTCATATCTCTAGTATAAAGACAAAAAGACATCAACAATAATAATCATAACATTTGTTTAGAGATGGGCATAAAAAGACATCAAAAAGTCAAAATGTAGGGGCGATGTTGTTAAAAGTATAGAGTTTTTTTTAGCTTTTTCATAGTAACAAAATGGCAGTAGTAAATCCTTACCTATCAGTAATAACGTTGAAAGTAAATGGACAAAATTATTAAAAGATACAGAGTAGCTAAATGGATCAAAAAAACAAGACCCAACTATTATTATATGCCACCTACAGGAAGCTCACTGCACCTATAAAGACAGCACACATAGACCAAAAGTACAGAGATGGAAGAAAGATATTCCATTCAAATGGAAACCAAAGAAGAACAGGTATTGCTATAGGTACCCTTGAACAACACAGATTTGAACATACCAGACTCTAGAATTCAGCCAAAGAAATACTAAGAGCAAAATATATAGCAATAAACACCTACATCAAGAAAAGTAGAAAAACTTGAGACAAATGACCTAATAGTATACCTCAAGGAACTAGAAAAGCAAAAATCCAGTGCAGGTCCACTTACATGCCGTTTTTTAAAGAGATTTGTGACATTTGAATAAACTTGCATACAAACCATGTAGCCTAAAAATATCAAAAATTTAAGAAAATGAGGTATATCTTGAATGCATAATATATATATATATATATTGTTTCTCATTTACTACCATAAAATATATGCAAATCTATAATAAAAGTCAAAATTTATGTAAAAACTTATGCAGACAAACACAGACCATACGTGGCACTATTCACAGTCAAGAGAAATGTAAACTCATGTAAATATGAAGTATTAAATCATAACCACATTAAATTAGCTATAGTATATAGTGTAACAATTTTATAGCCACCTTTTGTTGGCATTGCTGTGAATTCAAGTGTTGTATTTGTTTAAAACACTGCGTGTTGCAAATCTCAGTGTGAGCAATTTGTTTCTCCAGTGGATTGTGTATCACAGTAAAAAGTGATCTCTCACAGTTCTCGTGTATTTTTTGTCTTTAGTGCAGTACCGTAAACCATGAATAACAACACCATGATATACATAGTAAGTGCCACTAGTGATGCTGGAAGTGTTCCTGTTAGGCAGAGAAAAGTCATGACATTACAAGAAAAGTTGAATTACTTGATATGCACTATAAATTGAAATTTGCAGCTGTGGTTGCCCACCATTTCAAGATAAATGAACCCAGCATAAGGACTACTGTAAAAAGAGAGAAGGAAATTCCTAACTTGTTTGCTGCAGCTATAACAGCAAGTGTGAAAAACTTGTACTTTCTGTGAAATACAAATATGTTTTAATTGACTATGATACTGGTAAAGCTTCCAGTCAAAAGTGGACTATTAGTAGTTAAGCTTTGGGGCAGTCAAAAGTTACATACAAATTTTTTACTGCACAGGGTATCGGCACCCCTAATCCCCATGTTGTTTAAGAGCCAACTGTACTTACATCACATAAAATGGACTTCAAGCCAAAAGAGGCAAAGAAGGTCATTATATAATGATAAGCAGGTAAGTTCAGCAGGATGTAACAATTGTAAATGTATGTGCGCCCAGCACCAGAGCATGAAAATTTATAAAGCAAATATTAATAGATCTAAAGGGAGAGATAGATTGCAGTACAGTTATAGCAGGGGACTTGAACACCTCACTTTTAGTAATGTACTGATTATGGAGACAGAAATATACCAAAGAAACTTTGTGTTAACAGCATATATATTCTTTTCATCACCACATGGATCATTACCCAGGATCATCTATTAGGCCACAAAACAAGTCTCAACCAACTCAAAAAAGTAGAAATCATATCAAGTATTGTTTCTGACTACAATGGAATAAACCTAGAAATTAATAACAAGAGGACCTTTGGAAACTGTACAAATACATGGAAATTAAACAGCGTGACCCTGAATGACCAATGGGTCAGTTAAGAAGTTAAAGAGGAAATTTTTTTTCCCCATTTATTTATTTTATTGCATTTTAGGTTTTGGGTTACATGTGAAGAACATGCAAAATTGTTGCATAGGAACACACGTGGCAGTGTGATTTGCTGCCTTCCTCCCCATCACCTACATCTGGCATTTCTCCCCTTGCTATCTCTCCCCAGCTCCCCACCCCCCACTGCCCCTCCCCTATTTCCCCCCAACTGACCCCAGTGTGTAGTGCTCCCCTCCCTGTGTCCATGTGTTCTCATTGTTCAACACCCGCCTATGAGTGAGAACATGCGGTGTTTGATCTTCTGCTCTTCTGTCAGTTTGCTGAGAATGATGGTTTCCAGGTTCATCCATGTCCCTACAAAGGACCCAAACTCATCGTTTTTGATGGCTGCATAATATTCCATGGTGTATATGTGCCACATTTTCCCTATCCACTCTATCGTCGATGGGCATTTGGGTTGGTTCCAGGTCTTTGCTATTGTAAACAGTGCTGCAATGAACATTCGTGTGCACGTGTCTTTATAGTAGAACGATTTGTAATCCTTTGGATATATACCCAGTAATGGGATTGCTGGGTCAAATGGAATTTCTATTTCTATGTCCTTGAGGAATCGCCACACTGTCTTCCACAATGGTTGAACTAATTTACACTCCCACCAACAGTGTAAAAGTGTTCCTATTTCTCCACATCCTCTCCAGCATCTGTTGTCTCCAGATTTTTTAATGATCGCCATTCTAACTGGCGTGAGATGATATCTCAATGTAGTTTTGATTTGCATTTCAAAGAGGAAATTTTTAAAATCTATTGAAACAGCAGCCGCTTGAAATCCGGCCCTCGCACTCCCGTGAAGTCCCTGGGGCGCAGGACCGAGGACCCAGCACTCTGACTCCTCACACTCATGGTCTCAGGTTCTTTTCCTTCTCAAGGTCCCAGCAGATGCGAGAGGCTTAGAGAGGGCGGGCTTGCTCTCCCACCCACTGCAGGCTCCGTGGTCCCCGCCCCACTCCGGGCGCCGCTTCCCCTGGGGCCGCCCGGGCATCCTCCCACCGCCGGGGGCGCTGTGGGCCGCAGCGTGCCTGGCTGCAGATGGGGTGGCGGCCGCCGAGCGCCTGGAGGGAGCTGCTGGCCAGGCCCAGGGAGCCCTGGCCCGAGACCGCGCAGTAGCCACCGCCACCGCCGCGGCCGCCGCCACCATGGCTGCAAAAGACCCCACAGCTGTAGAGAGCGCAAACTTGTTAAACCTGGCTAAACTGAGTATCAAAGGACTCATTGAATCTGCTCTGAGCTTTGGCCGCACTTTGGATTCTGACTATCCCCCCTTGCAGCAATTCTTTGTTGTTATGAAACATTGTCTGAAGCATAGTCTTAAAGTAAGAAAATCATTTTTGAGTTATAACAAAACCATCTGGGGCCCTTTGTAACTGGTGGAGAAGCTGTACCCGGAAGCAGAAGAAATAGGAGCCAGTGTCTGGGATCTTCCTGGTCTGAAGACCTCCCTGGGTCGAGCAAGAGCATGGCTTCGGTTAGCCCTCATGCAAAAAAAAGTGGCTGATTATCTGCGTTGCTTAATTATTCAGAGGGATCTTTTGAGTGAGTTTTATGAGTATCATGCACTAATGATGGAAGAAGAAGGAGCAGTAATTGTTGGGCTGCTGGTTGGCCTGAATGTGATCGATGCTAATCTTTGCGTGAAGGGAGAGGATTTAGACTCATAAGTTGGAGTGATTGATTTTTCTATGTATTTAAAGAATGAAGAAGATATTGGAAATAAAGGAATGTTCAAATTGCTGCCATATTAGACCAAAAGAATTATGTTGAAGAATTAAATAGACAACTGAACAGCACAGTCAGCAGCCTCCATTCACGAGTTGATTCATTAGAAAAGTCAAATACTAAGCTTATTGAAGAGTTAGCAATAGCAAAGAATAATATCATTAAACTCCAAGAAGAAAATCATCAATTACGAAGTGAAAATAAATTGATTTTAATGAAAACACAGCAGCACCTAGAGGTTACCAAAGTAGATGTGGAAACTGAGCTTCAAACATGTAAGCATTCTTGTCAGGGGCTAGATGAAATGTATAATGAAGCCAGAAGGCAGCTTCGAGATGAATCTCAGGTACGACAGAATGTGGCGAATGAGCTCGCAGTACAAGTTAGTATGAAGCATGAGATTGAACTTGCCATGAAGTTGCTGGAGAAAGATATCCATGAGAAACAAGATACTCTGATAGGTCTTCGACAACAATTAGAGGAAGTTAAAGCAATTAACATAGAAATGTATCAAAAGTTGCAGGCTTCCGAAGATGGCTTGAAAGAAAAGAATGAAATAATTGCCCGACTAGAAGAAAAAAACAATAAAATTACTGCAGCCATGAGGCAGCTGGAACAAAGATTGCAGCAAGCAGAGAAGGCGCAAATGGAAGCTGAAGATGAAGACGAAAAATATCTACAAGAATGTCTCAGTAAATCTGACAGTCTGCAGAAACAAATCTCCCAAAAGGAGAAACAGCTGGTGCAACTGGAAACTGACTTGAAGATTGAGAAGGAATGGAGGCAGACTTTGCAGGAAGATCTTCAAAAGGAGAAAGATGCCTTATCTCATCTTAGAAATGAGACTCAACAAATGATTAGTCTTTAAAAAGAGTTCCTTAATCTCCAGGATGAAAATCAGCAGTTGAAAAAAATATATCACGAACAAGAGAAAGCTCTTCAAGAACTCGGCAACAAACTTAGCGAATCAAAACTTAAAATTGAAGACATAAAAGAAGCCAACAAAGCATTGCAGGGACTGGTTTGGCTGAAAGACAAAGAAGCAACATATTGTAAACTTTGTGAAAAGGAATTCTCACTCTCTAAGAGAAAGCACCACTGTAGAAACTGTGGGGAAATTTTCTGTAATGCCTGCTCTGACAACGAACTACCTTTGCCTTCTTCACCAAAACCAGTACGGGTTTGTGATTCCTGTCATGCATTGCTCATTCAGAGATGCTCATCTAACTTGCCCTGAGATTCCTGAACTAAATCCCTATGTATGAAAGTACCTACAATGAATGTTACGATGTATACAAGGTAACCAGGCAGCTCTTCTTAAGCGGCTTTCAGTCAGTATTTGTACCAGTTTTATCATCTACATATTCAACTCATAGAAATTGCAAGTTATGTATTTATTTCCCTATTGTTATTCAAAAGGAATTTTCAACAGAGCATGCTTAAAAATCATGTAACTTAACTTCATTAAAAGGCCAGATAGCAGAGCTAACACACATTTGCCTTATCTTTTAAAGGGCTTCTCAAAAATAAGGCTTCAGATTGTTGTTGTTCTGAATTCCATCAATTTGGTATTTGATGGTGCCTGCAATTCTCTTAATGCACTTTAAAGCTTCACAGTTCTGAGACTGGAAATGCATAAAACTTTATTAATATTCAACATATTTTAATTATCTTTTGAAGATTTCACCTATATTTATTTGTCCCTCTTCCCCCGCACCCCCTACCTTTGCCTCTTTTGCATTAGACAGGGCCAATATTTTGTCCTACAAAATTTCCTCTTGGTCTTTTCTAAAATCAGTTATTGTGCTTGATGATTTTCAGCTACAGTGGATTAAATTAAAAGGGGCATTATTCGGTCTCAGCCTCAACTTTTTTCTGTCTCATCTTGAAAGGAAGTTACATATAACAATTTCTTTTACCTGAGTTATAGATCTTCCCATATGTTGTTTCACTAAATTGCTATTTTTAAAGGGGTGATTCAGACCCTAATTCAAAGATGAAAGCCCAAATCCCTCCCCAGAAAAAAATGTACATAATACTAGGGGATATTACAGGCTCCTTATAAAGATCCTCTCTAACCATTAAAAGTGAGAAAAAAATCGGAACTTTGCTTTAGTAATGTATTAAGAGTTCAGTTCAAAAAAATTTGTATGAACATTTTCATTGGAGTAAATTGTAGGAAGCATCAGACTGTAGTGGCCTACCAGTATACATCCACAGTAAAATTTCACCGTCTATTGAGCACCTCTATGCCAGGGTGTTGAGATGATGAAACATACACTTGAACTATTTCAAGCTGACTCAATGAACACTAATCCAAGTTAGAAGACAACATACCAGACTCTATAGGATTCAGCAAAAGAAATATTAAGAGCAAAATATATAGCAAAACATCAAAATATTTTATGATATGGGTGTTTATATAGCAATAAACATCTACATCATAAAAGTAGAAAAACTTGAAATAAATGACCTAATAGTATACATCAAGGAACTAGAAAAGCAAACCCAAAATTTGAAAGAAAGAAAAAATAAAGATCAGCGCATATATAAATAAAATTGAGGGAAAACCCACAGAAGATGAATGAAATGAAAACAAGTTAGCATTATCTAATAAAGTGGAAAATAAATATACACGTCTCAGCAGTTTTACACCGAAGTATATATATGACACAAAATCTTATATGTATGCTCTTAGAAACTTTTACAAGAATTATCAATAGCAACAATGTTTATAAGAGGAAAAATACAGAAACAAAAAGCTCATTAATTGAAGAATGGATAAATTGTATTATACTCGTGTATATAGTGAAGTACTTCATATACCACAGTGAAAATGTATGAATTACAGCTACATGCACCAATGTGGTTGAATCTCGATAATATGATTTTAACTGAAATCTCAGAAAAACTCCTATAAAATGGTTCCACTTATATAATTCAGAAAAGAGCAAAACTGAATAATAATTTAGGAGTATGAATATGAGGTAAACAGGCAAGAACAACATAAGAATGGTAAACGCAAGATTCAGTGTCATAGTCTCCTCTGGGAGTGGTGGGGGGGCAGTGGATTATTAGGCAGAGTGATGAGGTAGGGAACAGGAGGAGCACATATAGAAATATAGGTCTTTAACACTAGTAATGTATTTCTCAAGTTTGGCATTGGGTACAAGGGTTTGTTTTATTTACATTCTTTGTGCCTTACACATATTTTATAAATGCTTATTGTTTGTATTCAGTATCACTAAAATATTAATCTTTTATCAGGCTATACGCCAGAGTCAGTTGTGCCACATATTGTACTCCCAATATCTAGTATAGGCACCTCATAATGATAAGCAAATTTAAGTGATTAAAAGCTTGTCTAAAGTCATATAGCCCGAAAGAACCAGGATCAGGACTAAATTCATAGTCCAGAAATGTTTTCACTATCCTATTCTTATTTGTTTATTTTTATTATTATTTTAAGTTCTGGGGTGCATGTGCAGAACATGCAGGTTTCTTACATAGGTATACATGTGCCATGGTGATTTACTACACCCATCAGCCTATTATTTACATTCCTTATTTTTAATGGTAAATTCTCTTTGAGATATTTTTAATGTGAGTTAAGTTGCAAGACTCTTTGTATTAGCATTGTAAATCAAGGTTAACTTGATTGGAATCACTGGCCAGCAATAGTACTAAAGACAGAAAATAAGGTCACTTAATTACTTCTTTTGCATTTTTAAAATTTTTCCTTCTAGCAAAAATAAATCATCTTCCAGTAATAATACTGTTTTAGAATAATTGAAACATTGCTCTGAAAGTTCTTTAAGCATAATTGTTTATATAGCCTAAGATTGGAAGTAAACCTTTTTCAGGGTCTTAAGGATAACATTTTAACTTTATTACTTATAATTGTGATTTACCTCATTTATGTTAAAACTCAATAATTTATAGAAAATTATTTATAAATAGTCCATATCTATAATGGAAATTTTATAAGGGGAATAAAATGCCAAGGAAGGAATTTTATGGATTAAAAATATCTTTTTAAACACTTGGAAAGAGAACAGGGAAATCCAATTTGTACACTTTTTTCACTTTATTATCCTCTTGTATAATAAGAAATATATACAAATACATTTACAAGAAATATATAGCAATATATATGGAAATACATGCAAGAAATATATACTATTTTGCGACCTATAATCATGTAATGTTTAATTTTAATTGTGATTTTGCTATAATCAAATAGGAAAGTGAAAACTCAGATCTTACAAACTATCACACAATATTGAAGGTAATCATTTAATTCATAATGTGTGGTCAAGTTGAAATTAAAAGATCTGTATCTTTTAAACTGAAGATTATTTGGAGCTCCCTTAAATGATAGCTATTTACGGCAAATTTTTAAGTTGTTTTTCTTTTAAGTATTTCAATATGTATTAGCATACAAAAGGCACAAAATAATAATGTTACAATAATTTAATAAATATTATGTGATTATGGAGAAACTGAATTTTTGTACAACCTGTCCTGTATGTGTTTGTTTTCATTTATTTATTATATCTCTGCTTCACCTTTTTCTAAAATCTCCCACAAAAATACTGTTTTCTTGGAAAGTGTTACAAGAAAACCATGTTCTTACAATTGCATTTTTGGAGAAGCATGTGGGTGTTGTTGGATTCACTTGAGTAGAATTTTAATTAGATCCAGTACATTCACTTTTATTAAAAGAAAGTGTACTGATTCCTTTTTAGCATGCTGACCATGCTTTATTCTGACAGAGGGGCCCTTTTTAATCTGTTCTTAACTTCTCATCATTTATCTTTCAGAAAGTCATGTCAGTTTTCTAACTTTCAAATGTTTGCTAATAGTTTTTTATGCCCCAAACTAAACTATTATTGTGGCATTCAAGGGCATTTTAAATCTGTTATTAATTTTCATTCCAGCATAATCCATCATCCCATTCTTTCTGTGCACCATGAGCAGCTGCCATGCCACTGTCCTGGCACACCAGATTATTTATCATTTCACATGCAATTATTTTTACATTTTGCATGTTTTCTTAGAGCTGTTCCTTCTACCTGGAATATTTTTCCTCCCTATTTCTGCCATCCTTTCATTCCAGGACCTCTGGACAGTGAAATTCTGGATTTTTAAAAATCCAGTTTAGAAGACATCTCTGTGATAGCTTTCTTTTCTCCTTTCCATTCTTTTCGGTTCTCCTACAGTATTTAAGCTGTGATTCACTATTCTTACTGAACCTGAACAATACAATTAATTGTATTTCTACTCCTCTGCTACCTTCTGAGCTCCTTGATGACCAGTTTTTCAGTTTACTAAATTAAATGGTGTATCATAGTGGTTAGGAGTACAAATTCTAAAAATCCTCTTTATACCCAATTTTTCCCTCTAACTACTGTCCCATGTTGGTTCTTTCCTTTACAGCAAAATTCCTTGAAAGTGCTGACAATTTCTTTTCCACTTCCCTTAAACGTGTTTCACTAAGATTTTATTTCCATCACACCAGCAAACCACCCTTTTCTTGAATGTGAATGACCCTATGTTGTTAAATTGCATGCTCCATTCTCAGTCTTCTTACTTTGCCTGCCATCAGTGTTGCACTCAATTTTACACTCTTCATTAAACATTTCTTTCTCTCATATTCTAGGGAAAGACTCAGAAGATACCCACCTTTTTCTCTTGTTCTTTTTTCAGTTTTCTTGCTGATTTCTCTTTTTCAAACCTCTAATTGCTGAGGTGGCTTTTTTTTTTCTGTCTGTACCTGCTAAGTAGATTATTTCATTCCATCTGGTGGCTTTAAGTGTCATTTATACTGGTGAATCCCAAATTTGTACTCCTGTTAATGACAATCGTATTCTTCCAGGTACTCAGACCAGAAATCCTGAAGGCATCCCTGACTTTTCTCTCACTGCCTAGGTTCAATCCTTCAGCAACTTTATAATCTCTCCCTTAAGAATGTGTCTAAATTTGTTTTTATCATTTTTCACAATGCTCAGGACCATCCCTCTGGTCCAAGCCACCATGATATTTCACCCAGATTATTGTAATAAGTTCCTACATGGTCTCTCTCTTCTACTTTTGCTCACTACACTCTATTCTCTACACAGTAGGTAAAGTGATCCCATTGATATTTTTAAATGGGTTCATGCTCACAATCTTCCAGTGGCTTCTGCTTACCTCAGAGGTAAAGCTAATGTTTTTCCTGTTACCTGCAAAACTTTATGTCATCTGGCTCCTCATTTTTTCTCCGACCTCATTTCTACTCTTCTTCCCTTAGTTTAGTCTGTGCCAGATACATTAATTTCCTTAACGTTCCTTGAAAATACCAGAAACACTTCTACTCAGGGCCTTTAATTATGCTGCATTCTCTGCTTGGAATATCCCCTTCCATAGATAGCCACTTGGTTCGCTCACTTTCTTCAGGTCTTTATTCAAAATTATTATCTCTGAATATCCACTATTTACCATCACTCCTCTCTAACCTTTCATGTCTGCTTTCTCTCTATCACCAGGTTTTCATCAGCTCTTATTACTATCTAGTATATAAATAGTACATGTTTTATTTATTGTGTTGTTGATTATCTCCCAACTCAAATGATTTGTTTTTTTTTTCATTCGCTTCAACTAATAGAGCCAAAGAACCTGACTCCAGAGTATTTTAGAAAAGCTTTTGAAAGAGGAAATTTTGACTATTCTATACCAGTGTTCTCCAGATTGTTGTCCTAAAGTGCAGTTGATTCTATTAAAATAGGGAGAAAAGAATTTCTTAAAAGTGAATGCTCCATGAAGTATCCTCCTCTTTAAGACTTAAGTACATGTTCATATTTTAAAGATTCCTAATAGTTTGGTGAGAGACAGCAGCATGTCACCTTTAAGAACGTAAGCACAGGAGCTCTACTGCATGGTTTCTAATACCAGTATCCCCACTGCATCATTTCAGTAATGTCTTGGGCATATTATTTTATATCTTTTTGCTTCAGGTTTTCCATCCGTAAACTGGAGTGAATAACAGTATCTACCCCAAAAGTGTGTTTTGAAAATGAAATTAATGTCCCTAAAGTGCTTACAACAATGCCTGGAACATATTGAGTGATGCTCATCATTAAAAGAAACCTATTTAACTCTGTTGAAACCTATGCTCACTTTTTCATACTGTCTTTCTTCTCCCAAACTATATATAAATACTTAATTAAATACTATTTTG